AACTTCTGAGGCACATGGTACCAGTTAGTTGCACAGCTATTCCTAGTAGCAGCAGTAGCTTGCTTACCTCTAAACATTTCCTCAGACCAATTTGGGAAATTCCATCCCAGCTCTTTTACCCCATTGCTGAAGCTCAGCACTGCTAGTCACCACTTCCATTGGGAACCTTCTAGTTGTAATCTAGCGTGCTCTGTACAAATAAATGGTAAAGCCAGATGTGGGGGTCTCTGCACAACTTGACGTTTTAGGTGAGAACTACGCATGCTTTTCAAAGGTGCTGTCTTGTCCCTGTGCCATATAACAAGCATCATTGAGGGGCATGTGATCTCTCATCTGTTTCTCTTTTGAAAATTGCAGTAAGGTTTTCCTTCCATCCTTCTATATGCCCTGTATTAGTACTAAATGGTCCATCTCTCAAAAGGACCCAGTGGCCACATCTAGATGAGCACTGCAGACCTGTCTGCAGTGTTAGCATTCTCCATGCTGCTACCTTGCAGCTCAGGGGAAGCGGGGAGGGATTGACTCTGAGAGATCCCAGGGTCACAAAAACCCACGTGGGGAAAAACAGTGAGGTGGTGCATGTGGCAGCAGCATGCACCAACCAAAACCACAGCCTAGCCAGCCAGAGCCACAGTCTGGCAGCTGGCCAGGCTCTCAGCTGCAGGAGCACCATGGCTGCAGCTTCCCCAGCCCCTTGGACCCCAGGTAAAGCTGCTGGCAGCCTCCCCTACCCCACCCAGGGTAACCTGCCATGTGCCACAGCATGCATGGCACAGGTGTTGCCTGGGGACCAGTAGCAGCAGCACAAGGTCTGCTGCTGTTACTTGTCCCTAGGCAACCAAACATCCACGCTCACCTGGATGCGGCCAGTTTGTATAACTTTACTGAATCTGCTAGGTAGGCTGCTGAAGGTGATTTGCAGGCCTATATCCCCTCGGACAGGTTCCTAACTCTCATAGAAAGCCCTTGTCTCTCAGTCAGTAAGAGGTAGGCATCAATTTCTTTTTGAGGATCTGGGTCTTAAAGGTTTCTGTGGTGTAGACACAACTGGGCTCACCTGCATTCCAATAGCGATTAGACTGTGCTGATTCACAGGCCTGTTTACATCTTAAACTATGATGAAATGTAGTGATGCCCTAAAAATTGCTACTGATGCAGTGCTTCAAAACTATGTGACCTAGAAAGAAATCTGGGTCAGCCGGCAAGTTTGTTTGTATCTCACGCTGAGCTTTGCAGCCAGAAATTGAACCTGTGTGAGCTAGTCTTGAACCTCAGGAAGATGGGATGTGTTGGGAAGTGGGATATAGAGATTCTGGGAACAGTCTTAAATGTATAACATTTCCCTGATTTGGTCTTCTCTTTTAGCCTCCACAAAACAGCTCCCTCCCCGAAGACTTTGTAGGAAAATTCCATGAGAATATCATTCCTATCCACTGTGCTGGCAAGGTAAGTGGGGAAACGCTACAGAGTA